CCAAGACCCCAGGTGTTTCCTTCTTATTCTCAGGACAGCAAGCTTGCTTTGGAAATGGTGCACATGTCATTAGTCACAGCTTCATCCCATTTTCACCAAAGGTGAAGAACTTTGGCCCTCAGAGTGTTTCTTCTGATTTGTTGTTGTTGTTGTTGTTGTTAATATTAATATTATTATTATTAATGTGAAGAAAGCCTGTTTTTATACCAAGGGCTTTGGCAAGGTAAAGTCAAATGTCAAGTTTACAAGGAGACTTTCATATGCTAACAATCACAGATTACTGGAGGCATAGTTATTGTCAAGGTAAGTGGTTTTTCCCTCTAGCAAAACATTAACATTAAGAAAGAAGGGAGTCCCTGCAGAAACATTTGACTCTGCCAGCCTCAAGTATTTGTGAATGGGCTTCAGGGGAGAAGGAAAATAAGTTTTAAGTTTTTAAAAATATTTGTTTATTTTTTGAGAGAGAGGGGAGGGAGAGAGAGAGAGAAGAGAGAGAATTTTTGTCCCAGAGAGGGGCAGAGAGAGGGCACAGAAGAGGGGCACAGAATCTGAAGCAGGCTCCAGACTCTGAGCTGTCAGCAGAGAGCCCCTATGCTCCTGGAACACAGAAACTGTGATATGGTGAGCTGAGTTCCAGTTTGAGGCTTAAAAGACTCAGCCACACAGGCACCTCAGGAAATTCAGTTTTATATGCCATTTCCTTTTGGCCTTTTGTATCTCACATCACTATGGAGGGCAGGGTGATTTTGGAGCTCCAGGAACCTGAGTCCATAGGTCTCTGGAGATTAGAACCCTGCCTTTTTCTTATAAATTAGTAAGATACTTGTCAATTGATGGAGGCTCTATTACTTTAACCATTTGTTTTATGTCATTTCCTTTGCCCTTGGGCAGTCAGGAGTGCCTGAGGAATGCCACACATATCCTACTTGGGGCTGGTCAGGGAATGCTAGCTTGTGTTTGGCCCTCAGCTTTCCTTCTGCTCCCTCATGAAGCAGATGGGTGATTCCCATTTACCTGGCCCACGTGTATTTGTTCTTTCAGAAAACAGCGAGCTTGGCAGGAGATTGTGCTATTCTCTTTACTCCCAGAATTATCCCATTCTCATCGGAAATGAAGATCTTTGGTTTTCTGGGTATCCATTCCCATCCCCTTGCTCTTTTTTTCAGTAAGTCCCTGCTGTGGGGAATTCAAGGCCAGACCTAAGAGTAATGTCCCCTCATTTTAATTGGGGATCCTGGCCAAGTCATCCTTACTCTGGCATAGGTTTGGCAATAAGCCCCTTGGGACTTTCCTTTTAGAAATATTTTGACAAGAAAAAGACATAGGGCACTTGAAGGTGCCAGACAAAATGTTGGTGTATAGGCAAAGCCAGAGAATTGGGAGGAAGCGATGTCAATTGTGGGGAGAAGAGGAACAGAGTGTGTCGGTTTCTGCTCAGGTTTATCCTATTCTCTGCTGAAATGAAGATCTTTGACCCATCATGTATCCATTCTGATCCTCTAGCTGTTTTTCTTTTTTTTTTTTTAATTTTTTTTCAACGTTTTTTATTTATTTTTGGGACAGAGAGAGACAGAGCATGAACAGGGGAGGGGCAGAGTGAGAGAGGGAGACACAGAATCGGAAGCAGGCTCCAGGCTCTGAGCCATCAGCCCAGAGCCCGACGCGCGGCTCGAACTCACGGACCGCGAGATCGTGACCTGGCTGAAGTCGGACGCTTAACCGACTGCGCCACCCAGGCGTCCCTCTAGCTGTTTTTCTAAGGAGGTCTTGAGTCACAATGAAATGTGGTATGGTTTTCCCTCACACCCCGAATTCCCAGGGTTTGGTGACCAGCTCCCAATCCATTTCTCTGGTAGCCTAGAGCAATCAGTCTCTGATATCCCCAGATAATGATTAACTCCCTGTGACTGACCTTGTGGGGCTTGGCATTGATGGTTACCCAGCTTACCTCCCTCCCCTGGCTGCTTGAGATGCCTTCACATGGAAAAGCAAATGGGTCCCAGATGGGCACCCATTAGTTTCCAGAAGTGGCCAGGTCACTGACTGTTCAAGGGATACTTCCACAGAGCCTGATTCCAAACCCAGAAGTGTCAAAACCCATTACACCAAAACCACTGGGTACTCTCCCCTGTAGGTCAGGGTAAGAAATCCACTCAGTGCCAGATGCTTCTCATCCCTTTCTGAAGTCCCAAAGGAAGAATTATTGCAAAACTAGTTGCCAGGGTAGCCAAGGGAGGATTCCTTCACCCTAGCCAAGAGGTGTTTCTCATTCCCAAGACAGCCAGCTTGCAAAAAGAGTGTGCTGGTCACTCCATTCTCAGATTTATTCCACTCCATGTATCCATTTCTATATTTTCCCTTTTCCAAACTAGGTCTTTCCTGTGAGCCAATCACCGCCAGTGTCCAAGAGAGATCTCCGCCTTTAACTGCACAATCTAGTTGAGCTCAACTTCCTCAGGAATAGGTTGAGCCATGGGGGGCCCCTTGAGACTTGCCTTTCCTAACTCTATTGACAAAGGGAGGCCTAAGGCATTGCAAGGTGCCCAGAACAGAATTTCTGCCCATAGGCCAAGTCCAGAGGAGCTGGGAGGGAGCTGGCCTCCCTTGTGGGGCTAGAAGGAGCTTAGCTACTCATTTCACTCTCAGCATTATGCTGTCCTCATCTGCAGGGAATCACTTGAGCCATTGATGTCTCTATTCCCATCCCCTGGCACTTTTTTTATCTAGGCATTCACTGTGGGGACTCAGGGCCAGAATGTAAGTGTCATGTGCTCTCTTGTCAGGTGGGGAGTTGGGCCATGTCCTCCCAATGTGGAGAAAAGTTGGGCAACACGGGCCTACCCATAGGGGTTGCCTTTCAGCCTTATTGTTGGCCACAAAAGACATAGGGCAGTGGAAACCATAAGGCATAACACAAAATGTTTGCATGTAGGCAGGAACAGGGGAGTGGGATGGAACCAGCCTCAGTTCTGCAGAAGGGGGAAATGAAGCTAGGCACCGCATCCTTAGTTATAGCCTATATCTCTCCAAAAATAAGGAGCTCTGGCCCTCCATATGTTCCCACCCCCTTAGCAGATTTTCTAAGGAGGTTTTCGGTCACACTCAGGAGAAATGGGGCCATCACTCACATCAAAAGCACTCAGGGATTAATGGAGAGTTCCTGTCACTGCCTGCAGTAAGAGAAATCAGTTTCTGACATCCCAAAGAGGAAATTTCTCTCCTTTGACTGAAAGTATGGTGCTTCACGGGCTGCAGGTGGCATGGGGATGTTCACCCTGATTGTGTCTCTCACTGGGCTCATTGAGCTGCCTTCATTCTGAAATGCAGAAGGCTCTCAGATGGGCAGTTTACTCCTAGACATGGGTCAGTGCAGAAAGAGCCCAGGCAAAGACTCCTGCGCCAGAGCTTGCTTCCAAACACTTGAAGGTCTGCAGGGAGAATGACTTGTAATCACTGAAGGAATGTGGCATCTATACTTGATGGAAAGGGCAGGAGAAAAGGCAATGGCCAGAAGAATTCCTTTCCTGGCTTACCAACCTTCTGAATAACATTTCTTGCAGTAGGATCATCAGGTATAGTCAGTGGACATTTCCCTGGGCCCAAACCATTGGTGTGTCTTAGACTTGACATTATGCTAATCACTTTATTCTTTGCTTTATCCTATTCTCCGTAACAAAGAACTTTGGGCCTCTGTGTATCCATGTCCACTTCTGGTCTTTTATTCAAACTAGGTTTCCTCTCGTAGGCATTTGGGGCCAGATTTTAAGACCAATTCAGGCTCATTTTAACTGAGGGCTTGAGTCAAGTTCTCTGGACCTTGGGATACTTTGGACTATGGGGCCTCACACCAAGTATATTTTAGAATCATGCATACATCAGGAAACCTAGCACACTTGAGGGGCCCTGCATGGGATGTTTGTCTCTAGGCAGACCCAGAGGATATAGGAGGAAAGCAGTCCTCCTTCTGCAACAAAAAAACACTGAGCCATACAGTATCTTTTCAGTTGTTTCCCATTCTCATTTGAATTCCAGATGAAGGTTTCCTCAGGCCTGGGCTTCCAGATAAAAACAGTGGTGTTTTTCCCTTTCCCCACTGCAGAGGTGCTTCTTATTCTGAAGACAGCCAGCTTCAAATAGATTATACTAGTCACTCTCTTCTCTGCTTGCTCCCTTTCTCATAGGAAAGGAAGAGCTTTGGCCCTCCATGTGTCCATTCCCATGTTATGCCCAGAATTCGTGATCCCCAAATACCACCAGGGAGCCGAGTCCAATGTAAAAGCAAAAGAGCCTCTATTCGAGCTAGCTTGAGCTCAATCCCCTACCTGCACCAATGCAGTGGTGAGACACCGGGGAGAGAGAGCGAGTTTCAAAAGGACAAAGGTTTTATTGGGGCCTAGGGGCAGTTGGTGAGGTAATGACTGTGGCCTCAGCCTATTGGCTGGGAAAGGGTGGGAGTCCTGTTAGGCAGGTGAGGGGGAGGTTACTCAAGGGGAGGAGGCGTGGTTAAGGTGAAGGACACAGAACAAGATGGAGTTGGCTGGCGTAGGCCCGCCCTTTCATTCCCCCCTTGTCATGTAACTTACGGACCCAATCATGGGACTGGCTGCATTTATGGTGACAAGGGGAACAGAGTTTGGAGGTTTACGCAAAGTTCTGGGAACCAAGTGTCCCTGGGGTGGCTCTGGGAGGTCTGATTAAGTATTGTCCCTGAGCTGGTGTCTATGATCTGCCAGGTGATGTTTTGGGGGGCATGGGGACTCCCATAAGCATGAGCAATGACAAGCAGAGTTAACAAAGTTACCAATATTAGGTGGGTCGAATGCTCTGTAGCTTGAGCTTGAGCGGGTTGTGTTGGTCCCGACTGATGGCCCATCAAGTGATGAAGTCCTTCCGGATCGAGGAGGGGTCTGCTGGCCAAACGTGGGTGTGATGGACCCAGGTCGTGATGCTGTCTACTTTGAGAGTGGTAGGGTTGTCAGCACCACAATGTAAGATCCCTTCCAGTGTGGCTCGAGAGTCTCTCAGTGGTGCCTCTTGACGTAGACCCAGTCTCCCGGCCTGTACTGATGAGATGTCGGGGTTGGGCCAGCCTTGTAGATGGCACGGAGGCACAGCCAAATGTCCTCGTGCACCCTCTGGAGCCCTCTCAAGGAAAGAAAAAGTTCTTGATCTTTCAACTCAGCAAGAAGTTCAGCTCGAAGGTTGGGAATAACAGGGGGTGGCCTGCCAAACATGATCTCATAGGGAGTAAAACCCAGAGTGTAAGGAGTGTTTCTAACCCAGTAAAGGGTGTACGGTAGGAGAGTCACCCAGTCCCTACCAATCTCCATGGTTAATTTGGTAAGGGTCTCTTTTAGGGTTCTATTCATTCTTTCTACCTGTCCTGAGCTCTGGGGCCTATAAGCACAATGTAATTTCCAGTTTGCCCCCACTCCTTGGCTACTTCCTGCGTTACCTGTGAGATAAAAGCTGGTCCATTGTCTGATCCTACCATGGCAGGAAAACCACACCTGGGTAAGATGTCTTCCAATAGGTTCTTAGCCACCATCTGAGCCATTTCATGCTTGGTTGGGTATGCCTCCACCCAGCCAGAGAAGGTGTCTGTAAATACTAAAAGATATTTATAACTATACTTTCCTGGTTTGACTTCAGTGAAGTCGAATTCCCATTGGGCTCCCGGTCTGGTGCCTCTGAGCCTGGTTCCTTTTTTATTTGATGTGGCTCTCGCCTTGGTGAGTTGGCAGGTCTTGCAGGCAGATACAACTTGCTCTATTTTGGTGTCCTGTTGGTGAATCTCGATTATGGCATGTCAGATTAAGTCTTTTAATGTTTGGGCCCCCATGTGAGTAGACCGATGCATGTGTTCTACTATTGAGACTCCGAGCCGGTCTGGCAGCACAAGCTCCTTGTTAGGTGTATACCACCATCCCTTTATCTCCTGGGCCATGGGGAGTTTCTTGATCCACTGTAACTCCTCCTGGGAGTATTTGGGCTGGTCTGGTAAAACTGGGTCTCCCGAGTCCAGTAGTTGTATGGTCATTGTGGGGACTGAAGTAAGGGCTGCTGCCTTGGCTGCCTGGTCAGACTTTTGATTACCTCTAGCTACTGGGTTATCAGCTTTTTGCTGCCCTTGGCAGTGGATAATGGCTAGCTGGGCAGGAAGCCATAAGGCCGTAAGCAGGTTAAGTATCTCCTGCTTATTTTTTATAGTCTGTCCTTCTGCCATCAGTAACCCCCTCTCCTGATAAATTGCCCCATGAATATGAGCTGTGGCAAATGCATAACAGCTGTCTGAGTAGATGTGAAGCCGTTTTCCAGGTCCCAGCGTCAGTGCCTTAGTGAGGGCTATGAGCTCTGCTCGCTGGGCTGACGTTCCGTGGGGTAGAGCCTCCGCCCATATGGTGTCCGTTTTGGTGACCACCGCTGTACCCGCATACCTGTGTCCGTCTCGCACAAAGCTGCTGCCATCAGTGAACCAAGTAGCCTCGGCATCAGGGAGGGGCCGGTCGGTCAGGTCTGTCCGGAATCCATGTACTTGTTCCAGGATTCCTGCACAGTCATGTAGTGGAGCACCTAGGTCAGGGTCGGGCAGCAGGGTTGCAGGATTGAGGGCTGCACTGGGGTGGAACCGCACTCATGGAGGGTTGAGTAGGAGGCTCTGGTAATGAGTCATATGTGTGTTGCTCCTCCATCTATCAGGAGGCTGTTTCAGGACCCCTTCAATGGCGTGTGGGGTAGTGATCCAGATCTCCTGTCCTAGGGTCAGTTTGTCTGCATCCTTGACTAGGAGTGCTGTAGCCGCAATAATTCTTAGGCATGGCGGCCAGCCGGCAGCCACTGTGTCTAGTTTCTTGGACAGTTAAGCCACTGGACGGTTCCAGGGGCCTAAGGCTTGGGTTAGAACCCCTTTTGCTATTCCCTTATGTTCACCTACAAAGAGGTGGAAGGGCTTCGTAATGTCTGGTAGGCCCAGGGCTGGGGCACTTAGGAGGGCCTTTTTAAGTTTCTTCTTTTTCAGCCCATTTAAATGTTTTCCCCTCTTTGGTAGCTTCATATAGGGGCCTGGCGATCTCAGCAAACCCTGGAACCCAGAGGCAGCAGTAGCCGGATGATCCTAAGAATTCCCTTACTTCTCTTCGGGACGTGGGAGTAGGGATCTTTAGGACAGTTTCTTTTCTGGCATCTGATAACCGCCACTGTCCACCCTCCAGGATATATCCCAGGTAACTTAACCTCTCCCTGCATATCTGAGACTTCTTCGCGGATGCCCAGTACCCTAAGGCCCCCAAGGTAGCCAGCAGGTCCTGGGTCCCTCACTCACAGTCTTTGGCCATGTCGGCAGCAATCAGGATGTCATCTATGTTCTGTAGAAGGGTGAGGCCAGGGTGCTCCCTTCTGTACTCACCCAGGTCCTCATGTAGTGCCTCGTCGAAGATGGTGGGCAAATTTTTGAATCCCTGAGGTAGCCATATCCAGGTGAGTTGCCCAATGTACCCCTCCTCCAGATCATGCCACTCGAAGGCGAACAAGGGTTGGCTCTGGGGTGCCAGCGGCAGACTGAAGAAGGCATCCTTTAAATCTAGTACAGTATACCAGACCCTGGAGGGCGCCAAGGAGCTCAAGAGAGTATATGGGTTGGGAACAGTTGGGTGTATGTCTGTGACCCTCTTATTTACTTCCCAGAGGTCTTGTACTGGTCGGTAGTCATTTGTGTGTGGCTTTTTGACCGGCAGTAGGGGGGTGTTCCAGGGAGACTGGCAAGGAACTAGTACCCCTAGGCTTCATAGTCTCCAGATGTGTGGCTGGATCCCCTTCTGGGCCTCCTGAGGCATGGGGTATTGTTTGATCCTTACCGGACTCTCTCCTGGCTTGAGCTCTATCAGGACCGGGGTCCTGGGAGCAGCTAGTCCTATCCCCCCGCCACCGTCTCTGCCCAAACCGAGGGGAATTCTTGTAGCCATCTGTCTATATTATCCTCTCTTGGGAGCGCCTCCTGGTGGTGGCAGTATTCATCCTCCAGTTTCATGGTCAGGACCTGGATGGGGTGACCCTTGCCATCGGTGACCTGAGGCCCCCCCTTGTCTGAAAGTTATCTGAGCTCCAATCTTGGTCAGTAAGTCCCATCCTAACAGCAGGTAGGGGCATTCTGGTATTACCATAAAGGAGTGGGAAACCCAGCCCATCCCCAAATCTACTGTCCTTCGGGTAGTCCATGAATACTGGCTCATACCAGTTGCTCCTTGTACCCAGGACTTCTTGCTGGCTAGTTTTCCTTGTGGGGTGCGAGGACCAAATATTGTGCTCCAGTGTCGACAAGGAAGTCAACAGGGGTCCCCTCCACTTTAAGAGTTACCCTGGGTTCGGGGAGAGGGTCCAAACCCCGACTCCCCTAATCATTTAGTTCATCTAGCTCTAGGACTTTTACTCGATCAGTCTTGCTTCCCTTCCTGCTGGCCCTTTTCAGAAAATCTCGGGCCCAATGCCCTATCTCCTTGCAGTATGCGCACTGATCCTTCTGCAGCCTCTGCTTGCCCCCCTTGGTGGTTCCTTTACCTTTTCTTGCGTCGTCTGCCAGCTCCGGAGACGGCAGTCTCGTTCCTCGGGGAAGTCAGCAGTGGTAGCTAGTGGTATTCTGGCCAGGTCTCAAGTCTGCTTACTGCTGGCAGCCGCCATGGCCCGAGCCTGCTATTCCTCAGGAGGCTCCCGGTTATTATATACCTTTTCAGCTACCACCAGTAAGTCCTGCAAACTTTTTTCTCCTAGTCTATCTATTTTCTGTAATTTTCTCCTAATGTCTATGGCCGATTGGTTTACAAAGGCCATGATAACAGCTGCCTTGCTTTCCGGAGCCTCTGGATCCATGGGGGTATAGGTACGGAATGCCTCCATGATCCGTTCTAAAAAGGCAGCCGGAGATTCATCTTTTCCCTGTTGTACATTTCCTGCGTTGGCCAAATTGGTTGGCTTTCTAGCAGCCATTCAGAGACCCCCCATTAGAGTCTGGCGGTAGACCTGGAGGCTCTCCTTACCTTCTGCCATGTTGAAATCCCACTGGGGCCGAGTTAAGGTGAAGGAGGCATCTACCTGAGCCTGGTTGGTGGTGGGATTCCCGTCTGTGTCTGGAACTAGTTTTCGGGCCCCATTGAGGATTCTTTCTCTTTCTTCAGTCATGAACAGGACCTGCAAAAGCTGCTGGCAATCGTCCCACGTGGGCTGATGGGTAAAAAGAACAGAGTCTGGGGTGCCTGGGTGGCTCAGTCGGTTAAGCATCCGACTTCAGCTCAGGTCACGATCCCGCGGTCCGTGAGTTCAAGCCCCGCGTCGGGCTCTGTGCTGACTGCTCAGAGCCTGGAGCCTGTTTCACATTCTGTGTCTCCCTCTCTCTCTGACCCTCCCCCGTTCATGCTCTGTCTCTCTCTGTCTCAAAAATAAATAAACGTTAAAAAAATTAAAAAAAAAAAAGAAGAGAGTCTAATAAATCAATAAGCCCTGCCGGTTTCTCGGAAAACTTAGGATTCTGAGCTTTCCAATTGTAGAGGTCACTAGTGGTGAAAGACCAATAGTGATGGGGCTGATTCCCCTCCACGTCTGGGGGTCCGGTGGCTTGCAGGGGCAGAATAGTGGAGTCGGCGGTGGAGGCGTATTGCTCCCTCTGAGCCCTTTGTCTGGTAAAGGGTGGGCTTCCCACTGGAGAATTTCTGCCTCCCACTCTCGGAACAGCATCTGCCTCCCCCGGAGGGGGAGGATGGTGTTCTTCCAGTATCCTAGAGGGGTTATACGGAGGAGGAAAAATTAATTTTTCTTCAGTCCCCCCTTGTAGGATAGTGTAGAGGGGTGCTGAAGGCTGGGTAAGACTTTTCTTCTTTTTTGTCCCCTGCAAAGCAAGAATGGGTTTTGGCTCCGGAGGGAGCGGGGCTAGGAAGGCTTAATCCAAGAGGGTGGGTCTTCTACAAGGTCCTGCCAAGTGATAATGTAAGGGAACTGATCAATATGGCCCATCTTAGGCCGAGAGATGATACTCGTGACTCGGTGGATGGTAGGGAGGTCAAAGGTCCCCTCTGGTGGCCATCCAACATTGAAAGTTGGCCACTTGCTAGAACAAAAAAACTGCCACTGACCCTTTCAGACTTCCACACTGAGGTTGTTAATTCTTCCCTTCACATCCTTAAAGTGATCAATCATAATACTTAGAGGAGTAGTCTGAGTCTGTCCCATAACGTCCATCCAGTAAGTCCACAGAACAAAACAGAGAAACACAAAAACAGACAAACAGAAGGCCACTAGAAAGTTTTCCCATTGCATGGAAGCAAAACTGAAAGCTAGCTTAGACCTTTGAGGGGATTCCATGTCCCTCCAAAACCGAAAGCTAGACGACGGCCTCACGCCGACCAGCAAGAGCGACCCGCCTCGTCTCAGACCTTTGAGGGGATTCCACGTCCCTCCAAAAAGGGAGGATCGGAACGTCTTCTGAAACTCCCAGCCTGTGGTCCTCCAGTGTGTCCACTTAGACTGCATCAGGCATTACCAGAATTTCAGAAATGAGCTCACACAGAAAAGATGGAATGAAGAGACACTAACCGTGGCCAGTCAGGCTCTCCGGGTCGGGAGTCCCTCGGGGGTCTTGGGGATCCTGGACCAGCCCCCAAATGTTATGCCCAGAATTCGTGATCCCCAAATACCGCCAGGGAGCCAAGTCCGATGTAAAAGCAAAAGAGCCTTTATTCGAGCTAGCTCGAGCTCAATCCCCTACCTGCACCGACGCAGTGGTGAGATACCAGGGAGAGAGAGCGAGTTTCAAAAGGACAAAGGTTTTATTGGGGCCTAGGGGCAGTTGGTGAGGTAATGGCTGTGGCCTCAGCCGATTGGCTGGGGAAGGGTGGGAGTCCTTTAGGCAGGTGAAAGGGAGGTTACTCAAGGGGAGGAAGCGTGGTCAAGGTGAAGGACACAGAACAAGATGGAGTCAGCCAGCGTAGGCCCGCCCTTTCACCCATTCCATCCGGTTTTCATTCTTTTTTTTGGAAACCTGTTTTTAAACATTTCTCATTTTTGAGTGAGATACAGAGAGATAGCATGAGTGGGGTAGGGGAAAAAGAGGGAGACAGAGGATCTGATGCAGGCTCCACGCTGTAAGCACAAAGCCTGATGCAGGACTAGACCTCACAACAATGAGATCATGACCTGAGCTGTAATCAAGAGTCAGTCACTTAACCGACTGAGCCAACCAGGTGCCCCTTCCTTTGTGCTTTGTCTAATTATCTCTTGGTTCCCACTTGGCACGGTGAGCCTGTCATTCACTCAGTGAAAAACCAGGGATTGGTAGAAAGTTCCCACGCTGCTCCCCTGTTAACAGCAAGCATTCAGTTTCTTTTTTTTTTTTTAATTTTTTCACATTTATTTATTTTTGAGAGACAGAGCACAAGTGGGGTAGGGGCAGAGAGGGAGAGAAGGAGACACAGAGTCTGAAGCAGGCCCCAGGCTCTGAGCTGTTAGCACAGAGCCCGATGCGGGGCTCAAACTCACAAACCATGAGATCATGACCTGAGCTGAAGTCAGATGTTCAACCTATTGAGCCACCCAGGCGCCCCAAGCATTCAGTTTCTGATACATAAAAGCATCTACTGACCCCCGTCACTGTGGACTTGGTGCTGGAAAGCCTGGAGTTGGCATGGTCATAGACAGCAGAACTCCAACCACTGACGGCTACAAATGCCTTCATCTGAAGAGCAGACAGTTCCCCCATTTGCAGTATTCTTCACGACTGACCTGCAGAATGTGCAGAAACAGCCCATTCAAGGACCATTGCAAAAGAGCCACTTTCCAAATACTTGAGGGTCAGCCACAGGCCAGAAACTGTTAACTGTGTAACATGACTGCCTCAGAGGACAGGACAAAAGAAAAAAAAATCCATGACATAAACTTTTC